CAGGGGAGGGTCAGAGAGAGAGGGAGTCACAGACTGAAACAGGCTCCAGGCTCTGAGCTGGCAGTCAGCACAGAGCCCGACGCGGGGCTCGAACCCACGAACCTCGAGATCATGACCCAAGCGAAAGTCGGACGCTTAACCGACTAAGCCACCCAGGCGCCCCATATGTTTGTTTATTTTTGAGAAGGAAAGAGAGACAGAGACAGAGAGAGAGGGAGACACACTCTCGGAAGCAGGCTCCAGGCTCTGAGCTGTCAGCACAGAGTCTCACGCGGGGCTCGAACTCACACCTGATTATGACCTGAGCCTAAGTCGACTCTTAACCGACTGAGCCACCCGGGTGCCCCATGGCTCCTAGGTCCTAATGGAAGGATCGTGCTGACACCAGGTGAACCTGCTAGTCCATCTCAATATCACCGAAAGGGAACATTCCTGATGCAATGCAACAGGAAGTACACAAAACCACCTGTGGCTTTTGTCAGGGCAAAAACCCCCGAATCCAAGTAAGCCTCTAACTGTCCTGCTTTAGTGGAAATACAGGGGAAAGAAGAACAGGAGACTCAACTCGGACCAGATGCTGCGAGCCCGAAGCAGATGTCCGACCTGGTTTCTTCAATAAGGGGCCACGAAGAAAGGACAACAGTGAACAAATAGCTGGCCCAATACTCCCCCAAACTTACCTATTTCTAAAAAGCTGTTTTTCTGTATTAGACACTAGGTTGCTGTCAGTTTTTCATACGCATAGGACACTGTTAGACTTTTCCCTGTACTTGTATTCGACCCTTCCCATTTTATCATTTAACTTCCCACAGGTGTGAATTCAAACAAAAACTACCAATAGTAAGAGAATATCATATACACTAGGTGTTCTCATTAGTTTTTAAACTAATAACTTCTTTAAGTTACTTTCCAATGAATAATAATTTTTGTCAGTGACACTGGTGTCCTCCCCACCTCGTCTTCTCTTACATGGCAAGGTCTGCATTAGCAAAGACACTGTGGCCCCACCGCCTGTGCCCCTTCCCTTCCTGGGAAGGAAGCACATAGGGCCAGTGTTCCTGGACCCCGGAATTACTCACTTCTGCCCAAAGAGGCCCCACAAACATTCAACTGCTATGAAAATCCATCCTGGACCTTCACCTCATTATCTGTGTGTCGCTGCTAGAACATATTGCATTTCTTTAATGAAAACCCAAATGCCTATTAATACAAAACTGGTCTTGGGGCACCTGGGAGACTCAGTCAGTTGAGCATCGACCTCGGCTCAAGTCATGATCTCACGGTTCATGAGTTTGAGCCCTGCTTCGGGCTTACTGCTGTCAGCACAGAGCCTGCTTTGGGTCCTCTGTCTCCCTCTCTCTGTCACCCCCCCACCACCACCACTTGCACTCTCTCAAAAATAATGAACACTTATATATATACATGTAAAACCAGTCTCGGTCACGAGCGCTTACTTTCAACATCCAGAGGAAGTGTCGCATCTTCATGGACAGCTCGTGGGGAGGAGCGGCACGCGGTCTGCAGTAAACTGTATAAATCTCCCAGCTCTTGTCGATGTAACTCATGGAATAGAGTGTCTGCTGTTGCCCACTGAATAAATTACCTAAAAACACAATGCAAAGATAAATCATCAAAATTCAATTACAAAACTACATTTAGAAAAAATAGATAAAATATATAATGCTATTGGGCTTTTATTTACCCTTTACACGGCCAGCATTTGGGTGAATGTTCTCGGTCATCAGTTTGGTAAAACACAGAAAGAGCGATGGGCTTCTGTTTCTGACAAGAAAGATCTAGTCACCCCTCTGTCCAGGAAGTAGAACCTAATTCCTCTCTCCCTGAGCATGGCGTGGACTTAGTAATTTGCTTCGAACCACGAGAGTACAGAAAGGGAGACACAGTATGTTCATGGTAGAGAATTGTGGCTGCCGCCATTTTAACTGAGTGCTCAGGGCTAACATCGGCAGTAACAAGACACATCAATGCCACGTACCCTTGATGTGATGTGATGCCAAGGGCATTTCACCTCCATGGTGCTCTTCCCCAAACCCAAGCCTCAGTGCAATGTTGAAAACACATCAGCAGACCAAAACCAAGGGACATTTTATGAGATAACTGACCAATAGTTTTTCAAAGTGTCAAGGCCATAAAAGACAAAGTCTGAGAAATCATCACAGGTTGTAGGGACTAAGGAGATAGGACAACTAAACGCTAAGAACACAGATCAGAAAAGGGACATTAGTGAGAAAACTCGGGAAACCTAATAATGTCTGTGAGTTGTTAACAGTATTTTACCAACATTAATTTCTTAATTTCAACAGGTGTACCACGGTCGTGTACAATGTTATTGTTAAGGGCAGTGGACTGAAGGGTGTATAGGAACTCAAGTACCAACATGGAAGCACTCCTGGAAAACTAAATTTATTTCCAAATAAAAAGATATAGGATCAATTTTTCTCTGAGAAAGATGGGGAAATTCCAGCCTAAGGAAGGGCTGGTTTTGACTATTTCTGATTAAAACCCTGAGAGCAATTTGCAACACTGAAACATGACTCACCTCTGAAGGGGCTTCAGAATTGTAATCTGGCATCCAATGGTTTTGTGGCTAATATTTGTGAAACGCTTTTGTTTCCGGCCCTTCACTTCAGGAGTATGTAAAAGTAATAATGCACATTGAAGAAAAGCGAGCACCACTGTAGCTCAGTAATGATTAGGTCTGCCTCACCTCTCAGAGCTTCAGAAGTGGTACTTACTGGAACTCTTTGTGATGGATGTGGTAAGCCAACTGCAGAAGATAATTCAGAAATGTTCTCAAAAGTATTGTCGTAAATGGAGAATGAATTTCTTCAACCGGAATGTCATTATTGGCTAAAATAAAGGAAATTGGAAAGGATGCTTGGTACTTTTTTTTTTTAATGTTTGTTTATTTTTGAGACACAGAGTATGAGCAGGGGAGGGGCAGAGAGAGATGGAGACACAGAATTCAAAGCAGGCTCCAGGCTCCGAGCTGTCAGCACAGAGCTCGACACGGGGCTCAAACCCACGGACTATGAGATCATGACCGAGCCGAAGTCAGGCACTTAACCAGCTGAACCACCCAGGCACCCTGCCTAGTATTTTTTTTTTAATTCAGGTAGAACTGACATATAACACTGTATGACATGATTCACTAGATGCTGCAACATGATCACCACAGCAAGTCTGGCTGATACCTTCTCCTACGTAGTTACAAAAATTTCTCTTTTATTCTTGTGGTGAGGACTTTTAAGATTGACCCTCTTAGCAACTTTCAAATATATTTATTTATTTATTTGTTTATTTATTTATTTATTTATTTATTTATAGGAAAGAGAGAGAGAGACAGCGTGAGCAGGGGAGGGCCAGAGAGAGAGGGAGATACAGACTCTGAAATAGGCTCCAGGCTCTGAGCTGGCAGTCAGCACAGAGCCCGACGTGGGGCTCGAACCCACGAACCGCGAGATCATGACCTAAGCGAAAGTCGGACGCTTAACCAACTAAGCCACCCAGGCGCCCCTATAATCCTTTATTTTTAATTACAGTCACCATGCTGTACATTATGTCCCCACAACTTATTTATCTTGTAGCTGGAAGTTTATACCTTTTGACCCCTTCACCCATCCCGTCGATCCCTCCCCTCTGGCAACCACTACTCTGTTCTCTATATCTGTGAGCTTGTTTCTTAGTTTTTAAATTTTTATTTAATTTTATTATTTTTTCATGTTTAATTATTTGAGAGAGAGAGAGAGCTGCAAGTGGGAAGGGGCAGAGAGAGGGAGAATCCCATGCCTCAGGAGATCTGAGTTGTCCGCACAGAGCCCAATGCCAAACTCAATCCCACGAACCCTGAGATCATGACCTGAGCCGAAATCAAGAGTTGGAGGCTTAAACCACTGAGCCACCCAGGTGACTCTTGTTTTTTTAGATTTGACATACAAGCGAGATCATATGCTATTTGTCTCTCTGTGTCTTATTTCTCTTAGCATAACACTCTCAACGCCCATCCAGGTTGGTTGCAAATGTCAAGATTTCATTCCTGACACCTCATATTTTCTAAAACCTTCTATTTTATTTGCTCCTGGTATACAAGTCAAAGAACTGAGTTTGAGGCAGTACCTTTTCTCCCAGTGAATACTGTGAACAGCATATACACATCCACCTAAAACTTAAGTACCGCATGAAAGACCTAGTCACTTTTCGGGAAAGTTACAAGATACCTTGTCCCAGTGTTTTTCAGAGTTTGGAGCAGTGAGCCCCATTTGATTAAAGATGGTTCTGATTCTACATAGGCTCAAAGTCTGTGCCATACACTTACATTTCAAGTAAATAAGTATTAGTTCTAACATTTTGTTTTACAAGTAGATAATGTGAGGCTGTCAAGGCCTGCTTCCCAGAATTCAGCTGAAAGGAATAAAACCTTTAAAGTTGTTAAATCTATTGCCATGAAATTTCTAATTTGAAATCAAGCCCAAGCCCACCTCAAGTGGTTTCTTGGCTACTGGCCCTCCCTGATGCCCTCTGTTTCTGGCCTCACAATTTAGTGGGTTGTTTTAAACTGCAGATCAGAGGCAGGCAAACTTTTCTGCCAAAAGCCACACAGTAAATATTTTAGGCTTTATGGGCCAGACAGTCTCTATCACAACCTCTCAGTTCTGACATGATAGGGCAAAAACAGCCACAGACAATGCATGAGAAAATGGACATGGCTGTGTTCCAATAAAACTTTATTTATAAGAACAGGCCTTGGCTCACAGGCCCTGCCGTAGATGGTCTTTTACTACTGCCGTCATCTTACAACACTATCTCAAGTACGTTTTCAATACCTTGAGGAGACCGTGTGTCGGTTTCTGGAAGGCCTCTCCCAGCATTTGCCTTCCTCACTTCCTCCACATTTCCTGACCGGTTTCACGGTGACATATTACACTACTCTTCAAACCAAAAGACATGAAGGGACTGGAAATACTCACCACTTAACACCCTGTCCATATCAGCAAGAGTTATATTATGGTGATGAAATTTGCAATCTTTTAGAAACCTCCAGAAGTGAAGCTTTGTCATCAGAAAGGTGTTATCCAGGGAGCGGTCACATCCTAGGCTGCTGTAGAAGCTATAGATTCGTCTTAATTCTGTAATATTTCTTAAGACAGCATATTCCACCTACAGAGAGAAAGCCATACACGTCTTAATCTTACCTAATAAGAACAAAAGTAAAAGAAACAACACCTGTTTGACCAATGAAATGATATAACACGTGAGGTAACAGCATTTACCATTGACCACTATTAGAGCTCAACAAATGTTCTATTTTCCCCGCTTGCCGCCAGGTCATTAAAATGCAATTTCTGAATAACATTAAAAAATGTGCTGTTATCAAAAATAAACTCAAAATGGTTAAAGGACCTGAACGTGAGACAGGAAACTATCAACATCCTAGAGGAGAAAGCAGGAAACAACCTCCTTGACCTCCACCGCAGCAACTTCTTACTTGACACATCCCCAAAAGCAAGGGAATCAAGAGCAAAAATAAATGATTGGGACCTCATCAAGATTAAAAGCTTCTGCACAGCCAAGGAAACAACCCAGAAAATTAATAGGCAACCAACGGAATGGGAAAAGATAGTTGCAAATGACATATCAGATAAAGGGTTAATATCCAGAATCTATAAGGAACTCACCAAACTACACGCCCGAAAAACAAACAACCCAGTGAAGAAATGGGCAGAAGACATGAACAGACACTTCTCCAAAGAGGACATCCAGATGGCCAACAGACACATGAAACGATGCTCAGCATCCCTCCTCATCAGGGAAATACAAATCAAAACCACACTGAGATACCACCTCACGCCAGTCAGAGTGGCTAAAATGAGCAAATCAGAGAACTCTAGATGCTGGCGAGGATGTGGAGAAACGGGCACCCTCCTACACTGTTGGTGGGAATGTAAACTGGTACAGCCCCTCTGGAAAACAGTGTGGAGGTTCCTCAGGAAACTAACAATAGAACTCCCCTATGACCCAGCAATAGCACTGCTAGGAATTTACCCAAGGGATACAGAAATGCTGAGGCATAGGAGCACATGTACCCCAATGTTCATAGCAGCACTCTCCACAATAGCTAAAACATGGAAAGAGCCTAAGTGTCCATCAACAGATGAATGGATCAAGAAGATGTGGTTTATCTATACCATGGAATACTACATGGCAATGAGAAACAATGAAATCTGGCCATGTGTAGCAACATGGATGGACCTTGAGGGTGTTATGCTGAGCGAAATAAGTCAGGCAGAGAAGGACAAATATCATATGTTTGCACGTATAGGAGGATTAGGAGGAACTTGACGGAGGAACAAGGGGGAGAAGAAGGGCGGAAATGGTGGGGGAAAGGGAGAGAGGCAAACCATGAGAGACTCTTGAATGCTGACAAAAACTGAGGACTGATGGATGTGGGGGGGAGGGGGGGATGGGCATGGAGGAGGGCACTTGTGGGGATGAGCACTGAGTGTTATGTGGAAACTAATTTGACAATAAACTATTTGTAAAAAAAAAAAAATGTGCTGTTATCAGGAATGCCTGGGTGGCTCAGTCAATTAAGCATCTGACTCTTGAGTTCAGCTCAGGTCATGATCTCAAGGCCCCGAGTGGCAATCCATACTGGGTGGCAAGCCTAAGATTCTCTCCCTTACTGAGTTACAGAATTTTTTCACTTTCTAGGTCCTATACTGCTTTCGTAATTATGAAATCGGATAGATTTTAAATCCATAATTTTTATTTTTAAAATTAATATTTATTTCTTTTTGAGAGAGAGAGAGAGACACAGCGTGAGTGAGGGTGGGGCAGAGAAAGAGGGAGACACAGAATCTGAAGCAGGCTCCAGGCTCTGGGCTATCAGCACACAGCCTGACACAGGGCTTGAACCCATGAACCGTGAGATCATGACCTGTGCTGAAGTCTGACACTCAACCAACTGAGCCACCCAGGCGCCCCTAGAAGTTCTTGTTTTTAATGATAGTCTGATAGCAGATGGAGTGAGTGATACCAGGAGCCTGAAGTACGACATTGGCCGGGAGAAGAAGAAAGGAGGATGGGATGGGGGTAGAGAGTCATCACTTTGAGACCCACAGACTGGGACCAGAGGAGGCAGGCATGAGCAAGGGCCAAGAGGCAAGCCTGCCTCTCAATCTCGAGGTACCCATGGTGCTCTTGTTGCAAACATCTTCTCCGAAGACTCATGCCAAGCCCCAAACTATGAATCACAATGCTAAAGTGTAATTTGGTGGATGTGATTTTCCAGATGTTCATCAAATGAGGTCTGGGTACACAGAATGTTCTCTGGCTCTATGGGTTTCTAGAGTTGTAGTGATTTCTAAGGGTTTGAAGATGTTTTGAATCCCAGCAGCCCATAATAATGCACAGCAGAATTCACGTCGTGCTGAGTGGGATGGCCACGGCCTTGGCCTTTAGACCAAGTGAGGGGTGAGGGTTAACTTTAGCCTTATGGGCTCTGAGGCCATAGTTAATTCATTGAGTCCCTCGATCTGGGCTTCTGTTTTCTCGCAAAGCCTGTCCACTAAGGTTGCCGTACGAATTAAATGGGATGGTGTACACAGCATCAATAAGGGATATAAAACACCCTCAATACGGGAGAATCACCATCAGCTGTATTTGTCCAAGACTCTGGGGACCCTTAAGATTTAAGCCTAAAATGCAAATGTATAACAATACAAAAGGCTTTTACCTGCTTTTTTTCCTCTGCTTGATCTTTCTCGGGATACATATTCAGCAAAAAACTTAGATTCAGCTCAATGCCCGACCCTAACACAGAAGTACTTTCACTGTCATCAAGCTTTCTGGGAATCGCTAGCAAATAAAGGCAAATAGAGGGGATAATTGTGAAAAGCAATGTTAAAAGTTTTCAATGTTACCGTTTCAACTAATAAATCAAAATGCTTTGGGGGGAAAAAATTAAATGATTTTCGAAGTTAAAAAATGTTTTTTCAACGTTACGTCAAAATGATTTTCTACTGGGGCACCAGGGTGGTTCAGTCAGTTGAGCATCTGACTCTTGATTTCGGCTAAAGTCATGATCCCAGGGTCGTGGGATCAAGCCTTATGTCAGCCTTCACACTGAGCAAGAAGCTTGCTTAAGATTCTGTCTCCCTTTGCCCCTCTTCCTCATTCACACATTTGCTCTCTCTATAAAATTTTAAAAAGTAATAATAAAAAAAAGATTTTCCATCAAAGTAGGATACAAGAGTATTCAAAAAAAACTTATTAAGAAAGATGCAGTTTTGGGGCATCTGGATGCCTTAGTCGGTTGAGCATCTGACTTCAGCTCAGGTCATGATTTCACGGTTCATGGGTTCGAGCCCCGCTTTGGGCTCTGTGCTGACACTTGTTCAGAGCCTAGAGCTTGCTTGGGATTCTGTGTCTCCTCTCTCTGCCCCTGCCCTGCTCATGCTCTGACTCTTGAAAATCAATAAATGTAAAAAAATACATATTAAAAAATTTTTTAAAAAAAAGACAGTGGCTTCTCCCAGGAAACTCAGGTTTTCTAAAGCAGTTGGTGTATTTTGATGAGTAGATTCCACAGATAACACAGGGTACTTTGCATGCAGCAGATGGGCGAACACCCCCCTACCGGCACTGACGGAGGTTCTGTAGCACCAGTTCCTGAAGGAAGATTCTGTAGACAGGTCCAGGTGACTTAAGAACTCAACTTCAAGATTTGGAAATTCCACTAAGTGGTCGTTGGAAAATGCGCCATCATACACACGTCCGTTCTTGAACGTTAATCGGCCCTGCAGACAGACAGATTAGAGGTCAGAAAAACCACTGGTGATGTGTGTATGTATCTTTTTCAAAGGCTTGGAGTTTTTTGTTTGTTTGTTTGTTTGTTTGTTCGTTTTTAAGATATGCACTTAGCCCAGGGTGCCTGGGTGGCCCAGTCAGTTAAGCTTCCTACTTCAACTTCAGCTCAGGTCATGATCTTGCAGTCTGTAAGGTTGAGCCCTGCGTTGGGCTCTGTGCTGACAGCTTGCAGCCTGGAGCCTGCTTCAAATTCTCTGTCTCCCTCTCTCTCTGCCCCACCCCCTCTCACACTCTCACACCCAAAAATAAATCAACATTAAAAAATTTTTTTAGGGGCACCTGGGTGGCTCAGTCGGTTAAGCGTCCGACTTCGGCTCAGGTCATGATCTTGCGATTTGTGGGTTCGAGCCCCACATCGGGCTCTGTGCTAACAGCTCAGACCCTGGAGCTTGTTTCGGATTGTGTTTCCCTCTCTCTCTGCCTCTCCCCCACTCATACTCTGTTTCTCTCTGTCTCAATAATAAATAAAAAACATTAAAATTTTTTTAAAGATACGCACTTAGCCCACATAGAATCAGGCTCCTAGAGTCTCACATCACTGTAAATCCTCTCTCTTCCTCCTCCTGTCCCATCTGTCCCACAACCTCTCCCCATCCACCCCTAGGTCACAGAAGGTATCTTATCAAACTATGCTACTGACCAGCAAAGTGCTATCACCAAATAGGGGCTCTCTTGGTATCTGTCCAACCCAGGCCAATAGTCAGTCTGATCAAGAGGTAAGCACATGAACCAAGCCAGCTCAGCCAAACTAAAGACATTTGTGGAAAGCTTCCTGGAGAAGAGTTTCTTCTCTCCTTCTACTTAGTGTGTATGTGGATAGGAAGCTCAGAACTACAGCCACTTCTTGTGGTCATGGGGGCGGGGCAGCCCAAGGGTGAAGCTGACATCATGGCAGAAGACAGCCTGGGGAGATGGAAGAAAACCCTTCACATCACTGAGGTGCTGGATCAAACCAACCTTGAAACCCACTTATTCCTTTTTTTAAAAAGTATTTATTTTGAGGGGCACCTGAGTGGCTCAGTTGGTTAAGTGTCTGACTTTGGCTCAGGTCGTGATCTCATAGTTCGTGGGTTCAAGCCCTGCATCAGGTTCTGTGCTGATAACTCAGAGCCTGGAGCCTGTTTCAGATTCTGTATCTCCCTCTCTCTCTGATCCTCCCCTGCTCACACTGTCTCTCTCTCTCTCCCTCTCTCTCTCTCAGAAATAAATAAAACATAAAAAATTTTTTTTGAAAAGTGTTTATTTTGAAAGAGAGAGAGAATATGTGTGCATGAGCATGGGGGAGGGGTAAAGAGAATCCCAAGCAGTCTCTATATCATCAGCGCAGAGCCCAAGGTAGGGCTCAGACCCACAAACCGTGAGATCATGAACCATGAGCCAAAACCAAGAGCCAGACGCTTAACCAACCGAGACACTCAGGCGCCCCTAAATCCACTTGTTCTTTGTTACTTATGGATTATTAAGCTAGATATTCCATTACTTGTAACCAAAACCACCGTAACACACACATATATACATAACATAAACCAATTAAATAACTTCTAAATATATTAGATATTGATGATACATTGGAAATTATTTTAAAATTCATTATCCTAACAAGACAGGAAGCTGTCCTGTGCAAAAATGGGTTATGCACTTTACAAGACAGAGAATGACACGCCTTTTACCGTATTTTAGTTGCTTTACCAAATCTTTAAAATGTACTTTTCACACATCTGCACTCACCATGCCATGTTTTTTATTGGAGACCCATTCTCCCTCATACATGGCGCCACTGGCATAGTAAAACTTCCCATGGCCATGACGCTCTCCATTTACAAACTCTCCTATGTATTCATTTCGTAAAGGGTACTGGGAGTTGGGGATTCTCTTTAGAAACCATGTATGTGTTCCAAAGCCATTCTGCAAAGAAAGCAAATTTCCATGAGGCATGCTAAAAATAGTTCCTCTTTTTTACCTGAATTCTTTTAAAATTCAGACAATCGATCATAACAACAACCCATCTGAAGGGACAAAGAACATGGATTCCAGAGCCACACAGACTTGGGTTCAGGCTCTACACCATCAGTTACTAACTAGCCTTTTGACCTAAGGCAAATTATTTAAGCCCTGTGGGTTTCATCTACAAAACAAAAATAACACCAACCCTATAGGATGGAGGTAAAGATTGAAGAGAGTGTATATAAAGTGCCTGGCTTGATACTGATTACTATCTTACATTTTATTTATTTTTAACATACAGGTTGATTTTTAAAATGCCCCCTCTTCATTCCCACTTGGCAGAGGTAACCACTACTTGAGAATTTGAGAATTCATCCAAATTCTCAATGTGCAGTTATATGTACTAGGTCAACATATAATATGTACATATAACACACATAAATACACACACAAGTTTTTTAAAAATGAGATGACTCTGGATAGGTCTTTCTAGAACTTCTGGGTATAGACTGAAAAGAACTGAAAGCAGGAATCAAACAAATATGTGTGCACTCATGTTCACAGCAGCATTAGTCACAATAGCCAAAAGGTGGAAGTCACACAAGTATCTGTCAATGGACGAATGAATAAAAAAATGGATCATGATATAAACATACAACGGAATATAATTTAGCCTTTAAAAGGAAAGACATTCTATGGGGTGCCTAGGGGGCTCAATCAGTTAAGTGTCTGACTTCAGCTCAGGTCACAATCTCGTGGTTCACGGGTTCAAGCCCCACATCGGGCTCTGTGAATTCTTGCTCAGAGCCTGGAGCTGCTTCGGATTCTGTCTCCTTCTCTCTCTGCCCTTCCCCTGATCACACTCTGTCTCTCAAAAATAAAAAAATGTAAGTAAAAAAAATTTTAAAGGAAGGACATTCTGACACATACTATAAGATGGATGAACCTTGAGGACATTATGCTCAGTGAAATAAACCAGTTGCAAAAGGACAAATAGTATATAATTCCCCTTATATGAGGCACCTAAAGGAATACGATTCAAAGGGACCAAAAATAGATGGAGGGTGACAGGGCAGGGAGTGGGAGAAGGGGTTATGGGAGTGAGTGTTTAATGGGGACAGAGTCTCAGTTTCGGAAGATGAAGAGTTCTGGAGATGGATAGAGGTGATTCACAACAGTGTGAATGTACTTAATGCCCCTGAATTGGACACTTAAGAATGGTTAAGATGGTAAAGGTTATGTTATGTGTATTTCACCACAATTAAAAAGAAAAAAGAAAGCTGGGGTAGCTATATTCCTATCAGAAAACACTTCAGAGGAATAGAAATGATCAGGGCTAAAGAGGGACATTACAACATGATAAAAAGGATCAACTCACCAAGAAGACGTAATAATCCCACACCTAACAACGGAGCCTTAAAATATAGAAAACAAAAATTGCTAGATTTGAAAAAAGAAATAGACAAATCTACAATTATACTTGGACACTTCAACACTCTCCTCTGAGCAATGGGTAGAAAAGGCAGACAGAAGAGAGTAATGTGATACAGAAGAAATGTGATAAAAAGAACATTACCAAACACTTTGATCTAATTGGCCTCCACAGAATACTCCATTCAACAAAAGCAGAAACACACGGAACAGTCACCAAGAAAGACCATATTCTGGGCCATAAAATAAACCACAGCATATTTAAAAGAAATGTAATCGTACAAAGTATGTTCTCTGATCACAGTAGAATTAGACAAAAAAATCAACAACAGAAAGAAATCTGGAAAAAAATCTCCCAACATACAGAAATTAAGCAATATACATCAAAATAATTTACAGGCCAAAAAGGAAGTCATAGGGAAATTAGAAAATATTTGAACTGAACAAAAGTTAAAGACATATCAGAATTAATGGGATGCAGATAAAGCAGTGCTAAGAGAAAAGATTTTATTATTAAATGTTTGCACTAGAAAAGAAGAAATGTCTCAAATCAATAAAGCTTCCATTCTACAACTCAAGGAGAAGAAGAGTATATTAAACCTGAAGTAAGTAGAAGGAAATAATAACAAGGAGCAGGTATCAGATTAAAGAATGAAAAACATCAAGAGAAAATAAATAGCATTAGAACTGGCTCTTAGAGAATTTTCATGACATGGATACATCTCTAGCAGGACTGAAGAAAAAAGAGAAAACACAAATTATTGATACCGGAAGAAAAGAGGGAACATCCCTACAGATCCCCTATAATATGGATTAAAAGAATAATGAGAGAATATTATGAACAACCATGTGCCAATACATTTCTATTAAATGGACAAACTTCTTCAATAATACAAACTTCCAAAATTTACTCAGGAAGAAACAGATAACCTGAATAGTGCATTATCTATTTTTTAAATGTTATTCTAGAGTTAACATACAGTTGATTTATTGTTAATCTTGTCACAAAGGTAGTGTGACAAGACTTCTTCTCCAGTCCCAGAAGTCTTCACGGCATCTTCAGGTACGCGACTAAGGAAGGGAGAGTACCAATTCCACAAACTCTTTCAGGAAAGTAAAGAGAACACTTCCCAGCTCATTTTCTGCAGCCAACATTACTAAAATCTGGCAAAGATATTAAATGGAAAGAATACTAAAGATCAAAATCTCTCATGAACATTGACACAAAAATTCTCAGCAAAGTATTAGGAAACTGAATCCAGCAAGATATAAAAAGGATAATATAATCATAATCACGTTGGGTTGGTATTGCTGGAATGCAAGGTTCAATCAACATTTGAAAATCAATTAATGTATTGAAAGTGGGGGATGGAGAAACATCTAGCATGCAAATTGATGGCAAAAGAAAGTCAGAGTAACAATACTTTTATCAGATAAAACAGACTTTAAAACAAAGGCTGTAGGGGCACCTGGGTGGCTTAGTTGGTTAAGCATCTGACTTCCTCTCAGGTCCTGATCTCGCAGCTCCTGAGTTTGAGCCCTGTGTCAGGCTCTGTGCTGACAGCTCTGACCCTGGAGCCTTCTTTGGATTCTGTGTCTCGTCTCTCCCCTGTCCTCTCTCTCTTTCAAAAATAAAAACACTTTGAAAAATAAAACAAAGACTGTAGCAAAAGACAAAGGAGGACACTATATCATCATAAAGGGGACAATCCAACAAGATCTAACAATTGCAAATATTTATGCACCCAACACTAAAGCACCCAAATATATAAAACAGTTAATAACATAAAAGAATAAATAACAATACAATAATAGTAGGGGACTTTGACACCCTACTGACACCAATGGATGGATCATCTAAACAGAATCAACAAGGAAATAATGACTTTGAATGACACACTGGACCAGATGGACTTAACAGATATATTCAGAACATTCCACCCTAAAACAGAAGAATACTCATCTGGGTGCACATGGAACATTCTCCAGAATGGATCACATCTTAGCCCACAAAACAAACCTCAACAACAGAAGACTGAAATCATAGCATGCATATTTTCTGCCCATAGTGTTATGAAACTAGAAGCCAACCCCAAGAAAAAAATTTAGAAAGACCACAAATACATAGAGGTTAAAGAACATCCACCTAAAGGATGAATGGGTTAACTAGGATATCAGAGAAGAGATTAAAAAGTACATGGAAACAAATGAAAACAAAAACACAATGGCTCAAAACCTTTGGGATGCAGCAAAAGCAGTCCTCTAAGAAGAAAGTTTATAGCAATACAGGCCTACCTCAAGAAGCAGGAAAAGTCTCAAACAAACAACCTAAACTTACTAGAAAAAGAATAAAAAACAAAACCTAAAATCAGCAGAAGGAAAAAACTAATAAACATTGGAACAAAAGTAAATGATATAGAAACTTAAAACAATAAGAGAACAGACCAATGAAACCAGGAGCTGTTTTTTTGAAAAACAATCAATAAAATTGATTAACCTCCAGCCAGAATTATCAAAACAAAAAAAGAGAAAAGATTCAAACAAATAAAATCACAAATGAAGAGGAGAAAGAATAGCCAACACCTCAAAAATACAAACAATCCTAAGAGAAGGTTATGAAAAACTATATGCTAACAAAGTGGAACAACACAGAAGAAATGGAAAAATTCCTAGAAATGTACAAACTCTTGAAACCAAAATAGGAGGAAATAGAACATTTGAAAAGACCAATAACCAACAAAGAAATTGACTCAGTAATTAAAAAAAAAAAAAAAAACTCCTAACAAACAAAATTCCAGGACCAGATGGTTTCACAGGAAAATTCTACCAAACATTTAAAGAGTTAATGTCTATTCTTCTCATACTATTCCAAAACATAGAAAAGTAAGGAAAACTTCCAAGTTAATTCTATAAGGCCAGTATTACCTTAATGCCAAAACCAGATAAAACATCCACTAAAAAAGAGAACCAGAGGGACGTCAGTTGCATCTGACTCCTGATTTCGACTCATGTCATGATCCCAGGGTCATGGAACCTGCTCAAGATTCATATTCTCTCTCTCTCTCTCTCTCTTTCTCTCTCCCCCCCCTCCTTCCCTCCCTCCCTCCCTCTCTCTGCCCCTCCCCCCACCGGCACTCTCTTTCTCAAAATAAATATTAAAAAAGATTTTTTGCTCACTTGTGTGTAAGAACTTTAGAGAAACCTAGATAATAAAATGGCACTAAAAAAAGATGGTTTGGACCAGCAAATCGTACTTCGGATTTCTAAATTTAGCGGTGCTGAAGTTTTGGTTACCGGACCACATCCCAAGTGACGGCTGTGCCGAGGTCAGCAGTGTCCCTGTCTGGGTTCGGGGAACACCCTCGGGCGCTGTACCTGGATGCCCTTCTCCCACTGGCCCGTGTACTCTTCATTCGCCGTCAGCCACCTCATCCTGCCTTCCCCGTGGCGCATGTTGTTTTCCCACTGCCCTTCATATATGTTTCCAGACTTGTAACTGGGACCAAAAAAATTAAAAACAATCAGTTACTTTATATACAACATTATCTTTAAGAAGACTTTCTTTTGCATTTTTTTAGATGTTTGTTTATTTTTGAGAGACAGATTGTGAGCAGGGGAGTTTATTTCTCTCTCTCAGATATAAATAAAATGTTTTTTAATTTTAAGAAATAAATAAATATTCCACCCTGCTTAGATAGAAAATGTGTTCTCCGAAGTTTCTGCACCTTCTCTTTTTTTCCCAAAGTTTATTTTTTTATTTTGAGAGAGAGAGAGAGGGAGAGAGAGAGAGAAAGAGAGAGAGAGAACAAATAGGGAGGGGCAGGGAGAGAGGGACAGAGAATGAGCAGGGAGGGGCAGAGAGGGAGAGGGAGAGAGAATCCCAAGCAAGCTCCACACTGTCAGTGCAGAGCCCAACTTGGGACTTTAACTCATGAACCGCAAGATCATGACCTGAGCCAAAATCAAGAGTCGGATGCTGCTAAGCACAATTAGTCATTCAGAGAAAGACAAATGCCATAGGACTTCACTCATATGAGGACTTCAAGAAACAGAACAGATGAACATAAGGGAAGTGAAGCAAAAATAATATAAAAACAGGGAGGGGGACAAAAACCTAAGAGACTCTTAAATACAGAGAACACACAGAGGGTTGCTGGAGAGGCTGTGGGAGGGGGGATGGGCTAAGTGGGTAAGGTGCATTAAGGCATCTACTCCTGAAATCATTGTTGCACCATATGCTAACTAACTTGGATGTAAATTTAAAAAATAAATTAAATAAAAAATTTAAAAAAAGAGTCAGATGCTTAATCGACCGAGCCACCCAGGTGCCCCTCTGTACCTCATCTTTAAGCGACCTAAGTGAAAATTATTTGCACCCACGCCCACTTCCCCTCACACACACCCCCTACCCCGAGCAGCCGCGGTGACACCTACCATCTGATTCCCCAGCCGCTTTTGATGTTGTACACCCAGTCCCCCTCGTACCAAGAGGTACCCTCTTGATTGTAATAAACAGAGCCCTAAAACAAATAATATCATTTTAACAAAGCCAGCCTCATACAGCAAATGTTTATTAAAGGTAAAGATAAAAAGTATACATAAATTAAAGGAGTCTGAACTATGCGGAAGTCAATGTCCTAAGTAGGCAAGACATTTAATCCGTGGTAGGTTTCTGTCTTGTGATGGAGAAAATGGTGAAGTATCCGCCAAGTATGAATGAGATGTCACCAACCGATGGCCCCTTGATAATGAGGTGTCACATTAGGGCATGGAATGACTATGTCCATTATGGTCAGTCTAATCACTATATTCGGTAACCGTGAGTCAAGTTAGTATCTGAACAGTCTGTTGTGCTGTTGCCTAAACTGAGTGGTAGCACCTTCTGTGTAACTGAAGGCCAGTCCCTATTATGCACCCAAACCTTTTTCGTTTCACCCATTTATCACCTTATTTATTCAGCTCCTAGTGTAAGTGAACATGGCATAACCTTGCCTCCTGGTTTAAGTGAACATGGCATAACTTTTCTTCGGTGACTCCTCTGAGGAATGGCATGAGCCACCATACACTGTGGACCTGCACTGAATGACCTCAGGTTGCTTCTTTATTCAGTGGTTTATCTCTGTGTGTGTGTGTGTGTGTGATTTTTCCATCTTCTTCCCCACTATCAAAGCTGGCTTGTTCCTTCGTGCACCCATCCAGGGGCCATTGCCTAGAAGCCACCACCAACCCCAGTCTGAATCCACTATGAGCTGAAAGAGGGAAGGGAAAGGAAGACAATGGACAGATTGTCTAAATCTGAATAGAGTGATGATTATAATGGGAGACTGTTTCTTTTCTTATAACATTTTCCAAAAAACACTGCTGCGGTATTTTATCATCCGATACGAAAGTGAAGCGATGGTGACAGAAACAGCAACCTTGCTTCAAAGTGTCACCTGTGTTACTGGTGAGAACATAAACAGGGCCAGCTGCTGTGGAAAACATCTGGGAGGTTCCTCAAAATGTTAAACATCGAGTTACCATATTCCACCCCTAGGCTTGTACGCCAGAGAACTGTAGACAAGTACCCAAATAAATCCTTACACCCATGTTCATAGCAGTGCTGTTCACAGAGGCCAAAAGATGGAAAGAACCCAAATGCCTGTTAATGGACAAACAGATAAACAACATGCGGTCCATCCACATAGTGGAAATATTAGTCAGCCACAAAAAAGAATTAAGTACCTACAACATGGGTGGATCTCAAAAACATGTTGCTGAATGAAAGAAGCCCAAAAGGCCACGTGATATAGGGTTCCGTTCATTTCAAACATCCAGAGAAGGTAAACCCATAGAGACAGAAAGCAGGTCGGTGGTCCCCAGGGGGTTCTGGGTGGGAAATAACTGCCCAGTGGGTACAGGGCTTTATTTTGGAGGGCTGATGAAAATGTTCTGGGACCAGACAGAGGTGGTAGTGTTGCAACACTGTGAATGCGCTAAATGCCACTGAATTGCAGACTCTAACATGGTGGGTTTTGGGTGATGTGGATTTCACGTCAATAAACAAGAGGTGAACATACTTGTGTGAGAGCACCCCACCCCCCACCTCCCACACCTCTGTGTCTGTTCGTCCTATCTACGGACAGCAGTATCGTGGCTGCCCCGCTCACCTTCCCGTGTCTCTTGCCGTGACACCAGTGGCCAATGTAGGACACGGGGTGCGTGCCACATTTGAACATACCACATCCCTGCCTCACGCCGTGGATCACTTCTCCTTCATAGGTGCTGCCATCCGGCCACGTGTACATGCCATGGTTCATGGGGATGTTCTTCACAAACTCCCCCTAGGGCAAAATGGCCCCAAGAGTGAGAGAAGGAAGGCAGTGGAGAGACCCCTCATCCTGTGGGTGGCTTGAGATGCCTCCTTGACTACTGGATACTATTCCTGTCTCTCCTCCACGGAAACAGTGGCGTACCCAGCCCCCTCCCCCAGCTTCCACCCTCCTCCTTCCTTCCCTACATGTCCCAATCTGTCTCACCTCCCCTCTCCTGGGCAGAAGTGCCGGCGGCATAAACCAGCTGGAGGCTGTGTGTAGACAAGGCTCCAGGAAGCAAACAGGTGACAGGTGACATGGAACAGTGGCAGGCGATCCCGGCCTCAGGAACTTTAGCCTTGGAACCCACCTCGAAGGAGGCTTAATGCCCTGGGTTCTAGTGTTCTCTCCAGGGGACTCTGGTGATCAGCCCGGCTTGCTGATCAACTGATGGCAACCCTTCTTTCTGCCCGTGGTTCATCAAAATATTCCACAGACACAACCAACCATCTGCCCTGAGGGTGCCTTCCAGAGAATCCGCTTTGCTCGGGGCCAGGATGCTGGCTGAGTGGCAGGACACAGGTCCATGGCTGCAGCCCTGAGCCATCGGATTCCCTCAGGAAGGAGAACTGGCCAGAGGCAGCCAGCCAATGGAGAGAAGAGGACAGGGCAGGGTGGCTGCCTGATCCCACGAGGCAGCTGGCCTTCCTGAAGACACTTCTGTGACAGCCCAAATCCTGCCCGTAAACCCTCCTGCCTAGGCTGGTGTGGAAGGGTCTGTGCCTATGAGCACTCCCACCTGTGAGCTTCCAGAGATGATAAACCGAGGGCCACAGGCTAGAAGCCACGGTAATGTGGGGGAAGAGTGTCCCCGGAAGGACTGGCCCCAAACCACCAGATCCTCAGGCCACCCTGCACCTCTGCGGCTTGTCTCCCACTGTCCAGCCCCCATGAGCGCCCACCTGGCCGGCCCTTGTCTCTGCTTCCCTCACCTGGCTGTGATTTGAATATGAGCCTTATGTGCGTAGGTTTTAAATATCTTCGTCGCCACTTATAAACACCGTCACTAGCAACCCTGCAATTGTGATTTTTAGAATAGCTTTCTAGCAACTGAGTTAAAAATACATATTTCCCTTTAAACCAGCAAGATAGATGAAGTGAAACCCACATAACGGAATAAAAGCAGCCAGTAAAAATAGGTGGATCTGGATGAATGGCTATGGTGTGATCTCCAAAAAATAAAGGGACAGAAGAAAGGGTATAATAAACTGTATTTGTGTTTGTAAAGAGTAAGAGAGGCCAAATAAATGCCGGGGTGCAGTACACGCACAGAAGACATCTAGATGCTCAGCATCCCTCCTCATCAGGAAAATACAAATCAAAACCACACTGAGATACCACCTCACGCCAGTCAGAGTGGCTAAAATGAGCAAAGCAGAGAACTCTAGATGCTGGCGAGGATGTGGAGACACGGGCACCCTCCTACACTGTTGGTGGGAATGTAAACTGGTACAGCCCCTCTGGAAAACAGTGTGGAGGTTCCTCAGGAAACTAACAATAGAACTCCCCTATGACCCAGCAATAGCACTGCTAGGAATTTACCCAAGGGATACAGAAATGCTGAGGCATAGGAGCA